GTAGTTGAATTACTGTATGATTGTGTCTTTTTTATCTGTATCTGTTGATCTGTGTCTATGAAATAAAGCTGAAATAAAATAAGTGAAATGTTGCCTTGGCAACTAACTGAAATAAAATAAGTTGAAGTACTAAAATTATTAATACAAAAAAAATTTAAGCTAAATAGAAATATTTTAAAATAAGCACATAACAAAATTAATACAATTATAAAAATCTAAAAATAAAAGCTATATATCAGAATATAAATAAATTCTATAGTAGTATATAAATAATATTAAAATAACGCTGCTTAACTGTGGATGGTAACTATTTTTTACTAGAGTGCTCATTTGATTGTTTTTCTTTTTCACATTTGTCCATTTTTAAAAAATGTATCTGTGCATAGAAAACCAAGATAAACATTTAAGTGTTACATAAAAGTAGAACATAAAAGTTTTTCTACTGTTAAAAGTTAATTAGTGTACATTGTTCAGTCTTAAGGTTTTTTTACCATTGTGACAGTAAGACCTTCATCTCCTTCATCTCTTCAACACATTCGCTGTGTTTTTAACTGAGCAGACACTCAGTAATGTGTTTCAATGAGTGCCATATCAAATGTGTTATAAAAGCTGTTGCCACTCAGAAAAAAAAGTGCAGAAAATTGGTCAAATTGTTCTTCTATTTAAAACAGCACATCAGATGGGAACATAGGGATCTTGAGATACATTTTAAAACGTTTAACTAAATACAGCAAAAAGTATAGCAGTGATCAGTTTTTTTCATTGACCACACACATATTTAAATGTGTAATTCGGATCTGATCTGCTCTTTTTTCAGATGTATGCCAAACCACTGTGAACATGGAGGCCGATGCAGTCAGACCTGGGACGGCTTCACATGCTCCTGTGATGGGACGGGATACACAGGAGCCACCTGTCACACATGTAAGAATGAATATATATATATATATATATATATATATATGTGTGTGTGTGTGTGTGTGTGCGTGTGTGCGTCCGTTATATGTGTTTGTGGTTCATTGCTGGGTAATTATTCTAATTACATGTCATGCTTTCTTGGAAATTAAGGATGCTTTTGTGTCAACCTCGGCATAAATGCACTGCTACAGAAATGGCAGAGAACAAAGAAAAGCGTTCTGTTTTCTGTGAAATAAAGGGAAATGTGGAAAAGGGAGAAAGGGAAACACAAGAGGAACACAATTCTGTTTAACTAACATCGAAAAGACCTTTCTGAGAAATGTCACGGTTCTTCATAACAGTATTTGCTTTTCTTGTATTTACCCATGAATAACATGTTTATGACGTAAAAGGCTTCATGTTTCCACTGTTTTCGTAGCAGCTGAAACAAACAATTCTAAGATTTTCTGTTTGTTACCAGGAAAAGGTAACGAGGTGAAATGGAAGCACGAGAGACTTGAATAGGCAATGATTTCAGTAGAGTTTGCCATTAGCATGTTGCTAAGCTTATGATTAGTTTTAATTACACTGAAATATTTTAAGTTTACTACCTTTCGGAATGACCTTCACATCTGGAGTGGCACCTACAACTCCTTCAAACACTCGTTAGGTCTTGAAACAGAGCTATTGATTGATATGAAAAAGTCTGTTGTATTCTCTGTGAAGTCTGTTTGGGATCAGTTCTGAGAGAAATAGTTCAGAATCACTACTGAGTGAAACTTTTTAAGTCCCCAGGGGTTAGATGGAGAGGAGAAGAGACTGCAAGTTACACAGCAGCACCAGTTACACATAAGTCAATAGAAAGATGTTGAACTCCATTGAGTTACTTCCCTCAGATCTCTCCATATACAAAAACAAGGATGTACTGGTCAATAGTCGGGCTAGAAAAAACAGTGTGTGTGTATATATATATATATATAGAGTGACCGCACTGCCCGAGTCCAGGATGGCCCGGAACGGCTTTCCATTCACTTTCGCTTCCACCTCTGGCGCTCCAACCGGCAGGTCGAGGTGCACAATGCAGCCTGCCAGCCAGGTCCGTGCGGGGACTTCCATTGGCATGGGCTCATCCCGCTGGGAGGGAGCCGCCGGCCTGCGTACTGGTCGCGGGGTGCCCTCCGGCGCACGCCGCTCCTGGACCACCCTCCGGGGAAATGGCGGCGCTCGCTCCCCAGCATCCCAGTGTTGGGCCGCATCCACCAGCTCGACAGCCTCCACCAGCTCAGAGGTGGTGGTTGGGTTCCTCATCCCAACTGCCTGTCGGTGAGATCGGGGAAGGGCTCGGAGAAGACGGTCTATCACAACGCGCTCCGCCACCTGTCCAGCCGATGGAGCCCCCTCCAGCAGCCAGTGCTGCGCGAGTCGTGTGAGTTCGGCGGCCTGGGCACGGGCCGGCAGACGGGGCTTATATTTCCACTCGTGGAAGTGCTGGGCGGCACAGATAGGGGATAACCCCAGGCGGGCTAGGATTTCCTTCTTGACCTCCTTATATTGATCGGCGGAGGCGGCGGGAAGAGCGAAGTATGCACGCTGCGCTTCGCCCGTCAGCAGGGGAGCCAGCACCCGTGCCCAGTCATCCCTATGCCATCCTTCCGTGGTGGCCGTCGCTTCGAACATTTGTAAGAAGGCTTCTACGTCATCATGAGGAGTC